ATTTCACAGATACGGAGACGTCACCATTGCGGGGGAGGGACTGCAAATTTAGGCCTATGCTCAGCACTTACGGCCTTTGAGCAGGGAGGGATCTTTATCGTGCCACACCTGCTGTGACACGGGGCCTCGGTTTATACGGTCTCATCCGAAGGACCGCCCCATTTAGTCACCTTTTACGACAAGCAAGGGGGTACTGATCATGAAGACCTATTCTAACCCAGATCCCCACGGGGGCTGCTGTAAATGAACGTAAACGAAAAAAATACATTCTGAAATTTTTTGGGATGACGCAGCATAGAATTCCAAAGAAAATCGGTCGGAAGACCTGCTTGTTGCACCAGCAACAAGAACGCATCTAGTTATTATTATTATTTTTCTTCTTCTTCTTCTTCCTGGGTACTTTTTTGTCCGGGAATGATCTCGTAAACTATACATCCGACTAAGGTGAAATGTTTTTAGGGTCAGTAGACATGTTATGTAGATTTGTGGAACGAAGGTCATTTTCCGCGCACGTGCTTGCAAGAGCGTGCACGTGCAACATGTGAAATGACCGATTTAATTGATATAGGCGTAACTTTTTAAATTTTTGATGAAATGCTTTGAAACTCATAATGTAAGAATATATTAGTAATATAGACAAGATGACATGGTCAAAATAGCAAGATTTCACGCGCATGCACGTGCGCTTTGCTCTGATTGGCTGAAACTAAAGTCTCAATATCTTTCTTATTTTTTGACGAAATCCTTTGAAATTTTGAAAATAGCCATGCATTAGGATATCCTACAAAAAGATATATAGCAATTATCATGAAAACACGTGCATGCACGTGCGCTGCAATCTGATTGGCTTAAACTTTAAATAGCTATAACTCCCTTGATTTTCAACCAAACAGGATGGGATTTGGAACATAGATAGATATACTGGACTACTACAAGAAGGTATGGTCACCATGCACATGCATACACGTGCATGTACGTGCGCTGCATTCTGATTGGCTGAAACTTTAAACAGCTATAACTCCCTTGGTTTTCAACCAAACAGGGTGGGATTTAGAACATAGATAGATGTAACGGACATCTACAAGAAGATATGGTCACCATGCTCATGTATGCACGTGCGTGCACGTGAAATGAGCAAAATAAAAAAAGAACACTTGAATGAGGGTATCTTTTTATTACTTTTGGATTAAATGCTTTAATATTTAGTATATAAAAATATATAGATGATATGGTCATTACGCACATGCATTCACATACGCACGCAAAATTTGAATGAACTTTGTACACTTCTGGGTAAACGTTATTAAAGTCTCAAATGCATCGAGTTTGTCTTATTTAATGAAGCTTACAGGGAATATGGCACCAAAAGGGAGTTGGGGAGCGTTTGGGGAACATCTGTAACGGTCCCCGTTACAATTAGCACTAGTTTTCTCTGTTACACTATCAAAGTATTTGTCTTTAAAAAAGAAGTTTGAGACAGTTCTTACTTCCCCCCCCCCCCCCCCCCGCCCCGGGTCATTAAAAGTCTATACAATGTACGAATAGATAGAAAGTATTGTCATAGTACCTGAAATTTTTTAAAGAGTGCGACATTTTTTTTTTTTGTATCCAAAGGAAAAATAACATTTCTTTTAACACAAGTTAACTATTTACATGTTTTAGTTTCGAATGTTTTAATACCGAAGACTTCTTGGCTTATTGAAAAGATAATCTGCACCCAAGAATAAATTGTATTTGTCTCTTGTAGTAGAGTTTGATCCTTTTCTTCTAAATATATTTCTTTTCAATAATTTAAACATAAATATAAAATAGGAAACGGAAGGCCAGGAAAAATGAATCAAATGTTAAAAATTACCAAGAAATAATGATTGAACACTTTAAAATTTGATGCACCTAATCTTCATTGATTTGATTTAAACATGCATTTATTGAATTATACAAACGCATTGGAAACAAGTTTGACAACTTTCAAGTTCTTCTTGTGAAAGAATGACTGATTTCATAACGACACCCGAAGAAGAAAAGCGTCTGCATGCATAATTTTCAGTGAATCAGAATGTAACATCCGTCCCCACCCAATAAAATATATGTATTTTTAAATCTTGTTAAATAAAAGGCAAATCTGCAATTTATATATATGAAATTAATCGTGATTTAATTTTGAACCGATCATTGTATATAAGCCGAATAACAAACCACAATATCAGAATATAAATTTTATATGAAACCCACAAGTGACACGTACACTCCACAACTTCATTTCTAGGAATAGAATATAAGGCTTATACTAAGCTTCACTGTTACCTTCCTGGGAAAGTACATGCACACATTATGATTTATTTAAATCATCTTAAATGCTGGTTACATTTTAGTATTGGTTAAAACATGCATGTTAAAAATAGAAACAGAAAGTAAGAGAACGGATAAAACATTTTTACATGTAATATTCTTCGATCATGTCTCAGCTATGGACATTCACGCTTAATTGATTACCTGAATTAATTAAACAAGAACAAGGCACACATGTACAATCTTAAGCTGTAACTTTTGTTATTTTTTAAAAAATATTCAATTGTTGTAATTTATACATTTTTTTATACACGGGAAGATGTACATATATGAATGGGTTAGTTGATCAAGCACGCAATATTCAAGCCGACCAACATGTATTTTTTATGTTCGACAAATCCTTTATCATAGAATATAGAGCGATTTGATCATTGACTTAAGTATAATATATTCAGATACATGTATTTACATACTCCAACTTCCATATATATTGAACAAATATAGGCATATTAATTACCTCGGATTAATATATTTTGCATAAGCGTCGGAACCGGGGGGGGGGGGGGGGAGTAGGAGGGGATTAGCCCCCCTTTTTTTCTTAAAGATATACTTAGTATAGACATTGGACATTGCTGCGTAGCCTTAGCCCCCCCCCCCCCCCCCCACTTTCCATAGACATGTTGCAATATAGGCTTAAAATGGGGAAAGTTGTGTGTTTGGAAAAAAAAGTTTGGAGTTCGAACCTAACCCCCCCCCCCCCCCCCCAATTGGATTTTCGTGTTTAACCAATGCACATTTCCTTTTTTTATTGCTTGTCAGGTCTTTTTGAAGGTTTAAAAATTCCTTATACCTATCCCCCTCCCCCCCCCCCAACTTTCAATTTGCTTCTGATGCCAATGTTTTGGGCAGATTTGTACCGTACTAATTTTGCATTAAACTGCCAATACATGTACATGTTCAATGCAACTTTTGCAGGAAAAAATTATTAATATTGTAAAAGTTTGTTACATGTTTACATTTAATAAATAACGTGTAATTGGTAGCAAATTTTCATAATTAGAAACGCATATACATATTCATTTAATTGCGATTCAACAGAGGGAAACAAGATTATTTTTTCCAAGGTAGATGTTAAAACGTGAAATGTTGGTATTAAAGTCTTTGTCGGGGAAATGATTACTTCAGGTTAAATAATCCTTAATACTAAAGGTTAAAATAAAATCATTAAAAGGAAAGTCTTTAACCTCTAAAACGTTTAATTTATACTCTCATACTGCATTGATGTTTTAAAAAGGGCTGAATGTGATGAGCACCGGAGACGTTACTACATGTACATGCAACAGCCTGGTTCAGGCTCAGCGATTTTATACATGACTGAAATTATGTTGTTTTTAGGAATCCAGAACTCCAGAATCTTCGTTAGTACATGTAGATAAACCATGCGCAAAATAATAATAGGTTGGAATGTTTTAAAACTGTTCAAACAGATTGTATGAATTTGTAACAATTTGAATTAATTATAACATTTTAGTGATGTATCATGTTTGCCATTTTCGGTGTATTGTGTATAACATCATCAAACAGATTATGAAAAGGTCGATAAACATACGTTCAATCTGTTTAATTCTCAATCATGAAATATTTTAGACAGTGGGACTGTAACTTACAATGTATGCGAGCATCCGTAAATTCAAGACGAAATTAGCACGAAGTATCCAAAGAAATAAAGCAGACACGCGACACAGAAGAAAGGGGGGGGGAGAATTTTTTCTACATTTTTTGTACAACATGAGAAGGTGTTCAACAATAAAATAAATTGAGAAGCTCTAAAGGTCTTTCTTAAAAATATTCATTTTGAATCGAAAGCCAAAACTAATTCCGGAAGAAGTGTCCAAATCAAATACTGAGTGTCGTATCTATAGAGAATACTTTTTTTAAAAAACTAAACTTAAATATTTATATAACAGTTCACGTTTTATTTATATAAACGGAGCGTTAACTGTCCCAAACCAGTTTACACCGTTTACATTGGGATAAATTCATTCCATAATTAAAAGAGAAGTAATTCAGGTCAATTTTCATTGCATCGCTATTTAAATAAAAATACCTTAGTTTAATGCTCCTGTTAAATTGCATGTGCATTACGATGAAACAGCTGGACAATAAACTAAAAAAAAAACTATCTTTAAAAACTTGTTTGTTTGACCTTTTAAAATGAACCGACTAAAATCTTTTTAAAACTTCCAAATAATTCATTCCGGGATTTTCTCATCCTATCAACAACTTTAATGCCTTCAATCTTTTTCAACACTGAAAATTTCCGACAAAAAAAAATTCGACCTACCTACCAATGTAATTTTTTAACCCGAATAGGGAGAAGGCAAACAAACTTCATTTTAAAAACGGCCTTACGGGAATTTTTCAGCTACCACTGGAAATCTTTTAAAAATACACACTTACATGTAATTGTGAAAAGGAGATACCACACAGCCACTTGACGGAGAATAAATTTTTAATAAATAAACTAAATCAAATTACACCCAAGAATCTGTCTGTGTATAAATAAACCAACATCCCACTGTTCTATTGCGGAGAGTTTCTCTCAAGGAGACGTTTTTACGTCGCATTTACCTTGTTGACTTTAGACGCGTCTTTTGACGTTATGTCATAATAGACATAAGGGAGGTTTTTGCTTGGCGCGTCACATATTATATATGCATTAAGCATTAATTTGTAAATTTTGGATAATTAGTATGTTTAGCAAGAGTTGGAAATTACTGACTGCCCATGGCAGTCTGTTTTTGAGGTAGGGATTAATCTCTGTACATGTAGTTCTGGTCATTTAAACAAATTTTCTCTGTTCTCTATTCTTTTTTTCAGGGTATAGTAAGTCTGTAGAAAATAAGTAAAATATAATATAACAAGGGAGCACTTCTAGTTAAATGTATGAGTTGACCTACGATTAGTGTTGTCAAATCAGATGATTTTTAGTAACCGGGTACTCGCCTACTTTTCAGTTCAAGTAGCTGGTTATGCAGATGATTTTTCTTTAGACCTCAAAATACCTGCTTTTGCAATATACTCAACAGGAACTAGTATAAGTATTTGTAACTTGTTATTTCCATATCTTTTTTGCATATTTTCCATATTTGCATATATGGAATAAAGACAAGTACATGTACATGTGTAAGCATGTAAATCTGCATATCTGACACGTTTTGATTGGATAATGCACTGATGTTTGAAGCAGTAAAACAAGCATGAACGAGAGAGAAAGCTTTTCATTGTGACTTCATAAGAGAGCAACCCAAAAACACAATGCTCCGTGACGTATTTAATGTAACAAAACAAGACAGAAACAACAAACAAATGCATAGATTGCATTAGAATTGGAATAATTATCTTTAAAATTTAATTTGGTATTTGCGACTGTTAAGTATGCTGATTTAACAGTTGAAAACGTGTTTTAGTTCTCACACAGAAAATTAACTTTATTGAAAGAAAACCATAGGATATATTTGTTATGAAGAGGGGTATTATGGAAATATATGAGAATCTTTGAAAATCTAATGCATACAAGCCACGGTTATAATCCTTGCCAATATACATTTTACAAGGACCACATATGCATAAATGCCAATCTAATTAAAATTAGATAATAGATCCTTTCCCATACTCACAACACTAACATTTGACATCCCAAAGAGGGTAATGTCATAGGTCAAATTTAGAACAACTGATTTGGATCAACAGATATACAATGATTTTGAAGGCGACAATATGATTGGTTGAGGGAATTTGACCTCTGACTTAACCTTTTATGGGATGTTGTTAGATATTAGTGTAGCAAGTAATATGAGCAGATATAAACATGAAGTCTAATTTTAATTAGATTGGCATATATTTCAGTTTTTAAATGTCTGCATTGCTGATATTGGTTTAAATGTAAAAATTTTACAAGGAATTGTTCAAAACTTTGCTGTTGATTCAGAAAACTGAACATAGTAAAAGAAAAATCATTATGATTTATCTGTGTACTAGTATATCATGATACCTCATGAATGCTTTGTATCTAAGTTTGTTATTTTTTTTTTCTTTTTGTAGATTGAATCTGTGTTAAAACTTGTCCAATATATAAAGACAATGGGTGAAAAAGTACAGCTTTGTTCACAGGAACTTAATACATCATCATAAGGTAATTTCTTTTATTGAAAAGGGGGATTACACAGCATCTTTGAAGTATAATCGTCTTCTCAGAAAATTGTAGAGATATGCAACTGAAGGTTGATTATTATAGTGACATTTATTTTTTTCCTTTTTGGCTAATACTGTATACAGGGTTATTTTCGCCCTTTCACACTTGCAAACAATTTTGCCCCCTTTTAAATTCGCCCAGTCAAAGTTTTGTTTAAGAAATTATACTGTATTCTATGAATTCGCCCAAATGAGAGTAGGGCGAAAGGGGCAAAAATAAAACGGGGGCGAAAATTTCCCTGTATACAGTACTTTTATGATTTTCACTTGATTATTGAAAAAAGCCTTTGATATCACTGCTGATTTTATTTCATGATTATAGTGGATGGAGAACAGATTATGATTTCTTACAATTTATTACTATTACAGATCATTTTCCTAAGATGGGTGAAATCAACAGTCAAATACTGACACTTTAAAGAAAAGCAAAAGACATCTCAGGTAAAATGAAAAAAAAAAAAACTCATTTACAGTTTTATTAATTACTAATCTTTAGCTTGACAAACCAGAAATTTCCTATTTGACAATCTACAGATCAAGATTGATTGAATGTATGTTGTTTAATGTCCCTCTCAAGAATTTTTCACTCATATACCCATGTCAAGAATGCAGAGTTTATACATTGTAGACTAGTAGGATTTCGGTCAATTATTACAGGAAAACTACAGTCCCTATCAAGAATTTTATACTCGTATGAAGACACCACAACTTGCCGATGAAGAGCTACAAATTTTTACCTATATGCCGGCACCTACTGCGACATGGGACCTTGATTTTTACATCGGTCTCATCTGAAGGATCAGTCTCTGTGTTCCATAGTGGGAATCAAATCTGCCACGTTAGGATCAAATCCTTATTTCTTGACTCAAGAGCAGACGCTCTAACACTATGCCACCCAGGCTTCTAGACTTTTATGAGGATCGCTGACTTATACAGTTGATGGCTTTCTTTTACACAATGTATGGAAGCTCTTTAAAAATATAAGATTTAGTCCAACATTTAATTAACAAAAGTATTTTTTTTTTCAGTGCACACATAAGTTGTGTTTAAAGAAAACAACAACCACTGTACCCTCAACACCCGGCCTTCACATGTAAGTCCCCCTAACACCATAGCTATGACTATTTCAAATCTTTACAACTTACTGAACTGTGACACAACATACAGACTGTACATTTAATGTTCATGTCATAGAAATATGATGTTACCTTTTCAAAGTGCATGAAAATGCACATGCACAATTGCAGGAAATGGTTTATGTATGATTTTGCGTCAGAAATAGGAAATGGTTTATGCATTAAAATGTGTGACTGTGGGGAAGGGGGTTAAAGGTTTTCATATCTATTAACAATTCTGTACCTACTTGTATGTACATGAAACAGATTTAAATGTCCAAGTATACTGTCAACTGTAAAAGTCTGTGCTTCTTGCAAAAGTCCATGAACTCAGTGTTAAAGCAACTGTTCGGCTGCATATTGTGTGCTTTTTCATTCAAATATACCCAATATAAAATTTAAGGAGTAAGGAAGAAAGTTGAAGTCAGCAGTGTTAGAAACATTAATACTCTCACCCTATACAATTACAAAGTTAACAAAATTAGAATCTGCCAGAAAATCAAGGGTCATACCTATTTACTTGTATAACGTGGATCCTAAAACAACACATGTCTACACTTTGGGACTTACAATCATAATGGAATATGAGGTAAAAGCAAAATTTTCTCAAAAGCAAAATATCATTACTCTTTGATGAATTAATAATCTTTTACATTTTAATCTGCATAAATCAGACAAATTTAACAGAATTAAGTAAAAATGTTGACCTGATGTGTATTGGGGCCCAGCAAAGAAAAATTCACCAAAGCATACATTATCGTGGCAAAATGTCAAACAAAATATGTTCTGCAGGTCCATTACAATTTGCACTTCAAATGGCAATTATTTTTACTTGTCATAGGTGCATTTTTATCTTGAGTTTACATTGATTTTTTTTTCTTTGTAAGCCACATGGAGATACAAGTAATGATAGCTGGTATCAACAAACCTGCAGAATAGAACCGTAGCAAACCCGGCACAAGTGTTGCCGAGACCTAATGTCTTCATCCAATGATTAAATTATACTCCCAACTAAATTTTTTAGTAGGAAAATTGCATTTCAAGCCCTGTAATAAACTACAAGATTTGTCACAGAAAGTCATAGACAGGGAAATTAGTTCAGTTTCATTTTGATAGATTAATTAAATTTCTTTCCTTGTCATTGCAAGAAGTAACATTTTTGATCATGCATTTCAAGTTTCATGATATCGCGTTTAATAAGAAAATTATGTAAGAATAAAGGAAGGATGTTCAAGTGTACATCGGGGCACGAAAGGAAGCATAATTTTCCTCTCTCTTCCTTTATCTGCTTCACAAGCGTCTGTTAACATTAAATGATACTTTTTTTAAAGTGAAAGACCACTATTCACTAGGGAACTTATTTAAAATAACAACTGTCTGTTATTTTTTTCTTGTTTATTTTTTTTTTTTCAAGCAAATTCAAATTTAAGTCAAAATTTAGTCGAACATTGCACACAGCAGAAAAAACACATTGTTTGATGTCATTCGTAGCGCAGATTGTTCCCCATTGCCTGCATTTAAAAAAACTGTTCTCTTATTCTTAGTATACATACTTTAACTATTTTTGGTATAGAGGAGAAACTCTCATTGAATTTCAAGACATCTAAAAATAACTTCTTTATTAAAATATAGTGTGTAATATCACTTCTGTACTATTCTTTCCCATCTTTGGTGTATATAAACCATATCCAAAACAATTAATTACATCTCTGTGTGCCGGTTACACATTTGACAATGTCATTTTAATCAAACTGAATTCCAATGACACTTGAAAATCATGAAACCAATTGTCTGTTTCTTAAATGCTATTTGAACAATTTCTAAAGCGAGGTAAATTATTGACAAACAAGTTAATGAAACAAGAATATCAGCAGTCTCATTTAAGGTCATCATTTTGTAAGTTCTATGGTCAATACCATGACCTTGTCAGAAAATACAACTTATCATCGAGTCAAATGCTGACTGACATTTTTCATACCAATTGTTAGTCCATTATTTATACACTGAATTGACGACGGATGTTTCCGTTTTTTCACGATCATGACGATGAGCACACGGCGGGTGTGACCGGTCAGCAGGGGATGCTCACTCCTCCTTGGCACCTGATTCCACCTCTGATGTTTCAGAAGTCTTTGTTTGCTCTGCTCCTATTTTGTATTGTTTTATGGACTTTGATATTGAATACTGTTTGTTATCTCCATATCCTTTTTATATGAAATTTTGATATATATAAGATTTTTATTCTGGTTTCACTGATTAAAATTTGAGTTCAATGTTTTACAGTTAGTGAATTGCTATTTCTTTTGTTTGTTTGCTTATATTCAGACCAATGGTGTTGACATATTTTCAAATAATTAGGATAAACTTACCACTCTAGTGTACCTTTTGTCACTGAAGTTATATGAATGGTCAAAAATTGACTAACTTTCATTTTTGTGTCACTTTCAGAGCAGAACGACACTTAGAGCTGCTTTACTTGGTGCCTGTCTGTCCATCTGTCACACTTTACATCTCCAGAACTGTAAGAGGTATGGTTTTGATATTTTGCAAATATATTTCTTGGCACTAAGGCTTTTGTAAATTACCATGGTTACTGACCCCATGACCTTTGACCTACTTTGCAAAAATATTGCCGATAAATTTGGTCATTTAATTGAGAGGAAAGCGTTAAGTCCAATGGCATTTTTATTTAGCAAGTGCACTGATTGTCACAGAACATGATATATGCTATTATTACAATTTATTTGACTTGCCTTTCTTTACAAAAAATATTCTGTACAGTTTGTTTTAACTTATGGCTTTGAAATTTTGAGAGAATTTAATTAGCATTTATACATGTTTATAAGCTCACAATACTATACTTTGAAACCCTTTCTTTCTGAGGATTTTTGGAAGCACCTACATGTGTATTTTATAAAATGATAAATAGTTATTCCTCATAATTTCAATTTAATTATTCATTTGATTGCCAAATTCTATCCCAGTCTTTTCCATTTGATCCTTTTTTTCCTTGCAGACAAATGCATGAACCTCCAAAGCTCAATGCTAATTTTAATTTAAAAGCTGGCCACTCTTAGATTTATTTATCTCTTTAATGAAGCTACATAGCAGGCTACATATACATTCCTCAAGAATACAGGTGACTCTATATACTTCAATCTTTAATTTTCTTAAAATTAGGTACATGAAGTTGCTTCCAAACATCTGAAAGTTCTATTACAATTATCACTATTTTTATTAGTTTTCTTCATGTAAGTTTAATGTATTTTGAAATTTAAAACTTTTATTTGTGCCAGGTAAGAGAGAAATTCAGTTCTGAAATTGCCCTAGGAGTTCTTGGATTGCATCATACTGCTTACAGGCCTTGACAAAAAACAGTGTCTTGAAAGAAAAAACCTGAAAATATTCAGTGAAAAAATTGATGAGAGAAAGATCCACTAGAAATTTTGAAGCCTTTGAGCTGAAATCTGGACTTAACTGGTATGTCTTACGAATTCATCAGTTGTGTATAATAAATACAATAAACACTTTAGTACAATCTTTAGATTTAATTTGTAGCTCACATACTTCAACTATTTCATGAAATTTAAGTAAGAATGATAATTTCCTGCTGTCTAGCTAGATTAAAAACTGTTATAGTCCAAATTTGATATTGCGAAATAATTCATTTAGAAAATCGGATATGCATACATGTGTGTATACTTGCATGTAAATTAATTGTTAAAGCAAGTTCAATTTATCATTAAGTTGAAAGTTGACTAATTTTAGTGCATCTTTTATGTAAAAGTATGGATGAAAACCATTTGATTTTTGTACCTTTGAATGTATTAATCAATTTGTAAAAGCTCTTTTGATACACTGTTTGATATTTTATAAAAGTTTTTAACACATGCAATCAGTAAATGTGTCACAATTTTGATTTGATTACTATTCTGTTTTTAAGAAGTAAAAAAGTGTAAAGTTCCATGTAGCTTATACTAGTTTAGTGGCACATGGTACTGGTATATCGTGTATATTGAACTGTCAATGAAATAAAAGTCTAAATAGTCAAAACACAGGATTAGGTAGGGAATGCACTATCTTGTATGGTAATAAATGTTAAACTACTACTTTTTTTTTATTAACAAAGGGTATGCTTGAGTGACTGTATTTTAATAAGCAGTGAAAATAAAATAATTTTTAAGCATTTGAATTATTTTGATTTTTTTTTTAGTCTCTGCATGTTTATATAATGATTGCAAATATGCATATTGAACATGGCATCCACATATTGCTATACTTCATGCATATGGGGCATACACTGTAGCTTTTACTGAATCTTAATCATAACCTTGAAATTTTATGTACATTTGTACATGTAGAACATGTGGTCATGGTTTCAACTGGTCAACCGTATTTAAGGAATCACTGTCTAGTTAGTAGAAACCCTGGCATACATGTAGTCTACAACTACTAGCTAGACAGTGATTCCTTTTATTTCCATTTAACTGTGAAAAAATTATTTATTTACATTTTAGAAATACATACTGAAAGATTTGTATTCTACGAGCCATTCCCATGTCAATGTCAATAGTCTCCGCTGTCTGACATCAAACACAAAGTCAGCCGCACGAGATTTACAGATGCACAGAAGATTTACATGCATATTAGGCTTCCTTAGCGTCAAACTCAATAGACAGACGCACACAAGATTTGCATGCATATTAGGCCTCCTTAGCTTCTGGCCTATATTGCTTTGCCTAATTTACATTCCGGTAGAATTATCAGAAAATCAACTCCACTAACTTTCAAAGAGTTAACACAGACTGAAAACAAATAGAAATATTCTTCAGTCACAAAGTATTTAAACAGATATAGATATTTGTTTCCCACAGTGGAATTCAAACACATGACATAAGGATCAACTTCTTACTCATAGACTCTTGAGCATAGGCCCTTACCACTGTACTACGTATACGTGGGTGACAGCATTGAGAGTTAATCTTAAATATTAGAACAAGCTACTCTGGGCTTATAAACTGTACTTTCTATATAAGACTTATATACAATGACTATAGTTTTATATACAAGGTTACTTAACCTAACTGATCATGT